TGGATTGGTGTTAAGGTATCGAAACTGTAATCTGCACCAGCCGATTTCGAGTCAGTTTGGGTACTGATGATACCTAGGCGAGGTCGAAATGGAGGTTTACCTTGGATGAGGATACCATTTGGAAAGCGATGCAAAGTGAAATTGGAAGGAAAATTGAGGAATACTCGTATCATTGTGGGGAAATTCAACTTTCGGTTGTTCATTATCTCATTTAACCTATAGATCTTATTTAAGAAATGCTAGTAAAGTTTTCTCATAATGTGATGAGTAGGTCTCACGACGAAAGTAAAGTTAATTTAGTCTTGCCTCCTAGAAGGTTATCTCACCCAGGCTAGTCTGTACTGCAGTTTAGACCTCTTATAGGTCTCAGAGCACCAGCAGCTGCATTCGACACCTGATGGTGAGTATCGTGGCGATGTTATCTCTCCAACACACAGCCAAGGATGCCAGATACTTACAGAGCAAATATGACACCCATTGCAAGTTAGGCCTCCTCCGAAACATATTTGAATGGGATTTTTGCTTTAGCTATCACTGACGTTAGTTATTTTCTGGTTAAATAGCTTTTTCTGGGCCATCATCAATCTAGTAAGGGAGTCTTTAAAATCCGGCCTGTCTTCAGAATATACTTTGCTAAACTTGGCCAGGCCTAAGAGCACAAAAGTAATCCACAATTATTCTAAAATGCCCACTTATAGTCGAGGATACCATCCACATTTTATAAAGCCGCCTTGTACTTCTTTCGGGAGTATAAGTGATGAAAAAGAGCATATTGGAAGAATTCAATCAACTAGCAATGAGCAGGTCCAATTAAGTGCCCAACAGAACAGGCCAATTGTAAGTACAGCTGGGATGTGAAAAACCATGCAAAGGAATATGTCTAACAGCTATTCCAGTGCAAACGACAATTACTTACCAGAGCAAACTCAAATAAGGCTCATAAGCGTCCATTTGTTCAAGGTAATGGCAAAATTGTATCGAGTCAGATGAAAGATGTGACTTTGAAGGCAATCCAGACCTCTCTTAAATTACACAAACTCTGCATTGTCATTGATCTCGACGACATTACTATGTACCAAAAGAGAAAATTTATGGAGTGTTCTGACCTTTTCACTAGATCCTTTAGTTTGACTTTTAGTATTATCTTACCTTGTCATTACAATATGGTAACCAACTATTTTTTTATACTAATCCAGATATTACTCTTGCATTCGAATAGATTAACTTTACTAATTACTTCACGCTGACGATTAAAAAACAATTTGCTCTTAGCTGTTAGAAGTGATGTTGCTCTAAAGCCCTATAATCATTTCTGTTTGAATTTGATTAACTTAAATTAGTTGTAGAAAGGATTCCCTGATTTAAAGATGTCCATCATATAAAAGACAGTTTAGAACGTTTTCACTGGAGTCGAAAAAGTGTTCCTTAAGCAAGGCGATATTTCTCCCAAGTTTGTTAGGTCTCAATAGCCAATTAAACCATGTCTAAATGACTTATAGGATTGCGCGAAGGAAGGCTGAGCTTACTTCCCTTATGAGTGAGAGTCGTCTTCTGGTGGGGTCGACCATTCCATCTCTTCATCAAACACTTTTCTTTGAAATAGAGGTAAGCTCGACACTCAGGAAACAAGAGTTTCCTCGAAACCAAACTTTTCTTCGCATAGAAAATATGTGTCAGTGGTCACACATTTCAGAAGATGCGGTGAAATCGCAGTGGTATTAATAAATAATCTGAGGACGCCATGTTCTAGTTACCATTTGGTGCTCCGCCTTTGTCTGTGCCGAGTTAATCAGAGAGATTTCCCAAATGAATGCCACAAATAAGATTCTCAATTGAAGACTAGACTAAATAAGTCCCTATACTGGCATAACATAGAAAATAGAAAATAAGTTGCCGACTAGAAAGACCTGACAAAATAATGTTTTTATTGGCTGGCCGAATTGTTAATTGCTAATGATTATAGCATTTGAATAAAAGAAGATTGTCTTGATGAAACAGCTTTTGACAAGATTCTTTTGCAGCACACAACGCTATACGCAAGATATATGAGATTTATTAAGGCGTTTTCTCTGTATATAGTCCCATAGTTCTAGTTGAGATAGAAGCTTTGTTTCTCAGTAAAGCGAACAACTGATTTATAACAGTGAGTTAACCTCGTTGTCGCGACTTGGCCTTTTTGTCCGGGAGATTTAGTAGAACATACCTAGTCCGAAGTCCTCTGCCATAGTAGTTATCATAATTCCCAGCATCAGACAGTGGATTTGGTACCACTACGGCAGAGGACTTCGGACTAGGTGCGCTCTACTAAGTCTCCCGGACAACAAGGTCAAGTTGCCACAACAAGGTCAACCCACTTTTATAAATCGAAAGGAGAATACGACCATACCGGAGGCCACACCATCTTGGTCTTCATATCTTCAAACGACGAATTGATCGCGAAACGCGTAAGTGTGTTTATACTAAAAGATATATTAGGTAGTCTGGACAGACCTAAAATAAATTCGAAAAACGGGTGGTTATTAGAAAGACTTATCGAGATGCTATATCATTAGATTGCCTTGGAATGAAGAATATTGGATTGTGTCAAGAAGTCTTCCCCTCACGGACCTGGAACCCCAATCCATCCGTGCTGAGCTTTCGTCTGTCCCGCTGTGACAGAAACTGTCAAAGAGAGAAATACTTCACCTAAGCACTTAGCCAAACAAAGTAGCTGGCTGAGGTCCTGCTGACTTATTATGCCTAATTTTGCTATTCTAATAAAGCATTCCAAGATTTGGCTGGGTTTCTCTTGCATAGCTTAAAGGAATATAGACGAATGAATTAGCTGTCTGTAAAAGATGTGGATATCTTACCCGAGGTTTTCTGGCCTAGATAAGCCAGAGTATGATTCCGCAATGTTGAAGCATGTTTGTTTGTAGGGCTCCACTTGTGTTGTATTTATGCAATGCGATCACTCCAATGGCCAAAACTAGTTCCCGATTAAGATTCTAAGATTAAGAAAATTAGCTGCTTTACCAATTTATAGCAATTATCAACAATTATTAATTCTGATTTCTAAACCTATTAGCACTTTCAAGAGAATTTATCCTTAGATAATCTGTCATGTATGGGTCGCCAGGTCTTGTGAACATTTTGAAATAATAAAACAAGCAGGCAGCCCCCAGTCTGCCATGGGTAGATTCCACATCATACTAGGATACATAGTAATGTATAACATAATTATAAAGAAATCAGTTAATTCTTTGTAAGTTGTGATCTCCCCTTGAGTTTCACAAAATGTATGACTAGTAAAAGTTTTGTCTGGCAGCTATCAGGATCCCGGCTTTTTAGCTTCATACTATACATACAGATTTTGACGATTAGGATTAAAATGTAATGTTTAAATAGCATTAGATCTCATCTAATTGTCTCATCAGCAATGGTTCAGAGGTACTGAAGCAACGGACATCAGGAGTAAGAAGCTCTTTTGGTCACATAATCCTAGCCTTATTATATACTACCTCATTCATGACATCCATTGCAAGATATCTTTTTCTCAATTTGAAGTAATTGTTGCATCGATAGGCCACCTGTGTTTGGGACTAAAAGTTGGGTTCTGCGGAAACTCTTGGTTTATACTTGTTGAACTCACCTCCAGTTCTAGTAAAAGTGTGTAATGAAGAGATTAGAAGTTTGATCATACCAAAAGACGAGGGCGGATTCCTTCTGGTGAGATGTAGATTTGCTTTACTAGAACAAAAAGAAGGTCAAAAAGAACTTGCCGTTGTCTTATAATGGGATCAACCTTCACATCTCTTCGCCAAACACTTTCACTCGGAATAGAAGTAAGCTCAACAACCCTGTATTATTCATTATGGGTGATACTCTAATTATTTTAGCGGATAGTAGTAGTGTTTGCCTCAATTCTGCCAAAAGATTGATTAAGCGTTCAGTCAGCATAGGTCACTTATCATGGTAGAGTTCCCCCTGGAAATGAAAGCAACAGAAAAAATCATAGAACTTTAATTATGGTTGCCTTTCAAAAGGTTTTATCATCCAAGCCGGAATGCTGCTTCGACGCAACCTAGACTTTATCACCATCTTTAAGTGGATATGAAACCGAGACATGTGCATCGTGGGGACAAGTTGCCACTCCGAAACACAGCCACAGATGCCTTCGGGTCACGGGGTAGGACAGTCTCTCCTGGATCATAGTCAAATTGAATAATTTTTTTAATGAAATAGTCATAATTTTTAAACATATTTACAAGGAACCATGAAGGTACTCTTTGTTGATGACGTTTTGACTAATTTTCCTATTGGCCTGAAAGGTCTTAGTCCAGTAATCCTCATGTATATAGTTTAAGTCTTACAACTATTGATGCAAAGACCTGGAGGAGGCCAAAGTTAAAATCAAGCCTTAAAGCAAATGGGTTTTTGAGCTACAATGCAAACATTAAAACTTCACTAAAATTCATTGTGCATATATTGGTCATCGGTCTGGAGGAACAACCACTAGAAATTGATATACCTTTAAAAGTTGCATAAAGTGTTTGTAAACACTTCCTGCTCATATTTAGGAAAAAAATAATGTCACTGAGTCGGAAATAAAATTTGAAAATGAGCGTCCTTTCTCGCCGGATTGAGCATTTTTAAAACTGCGATTCAAGACTATTGTCATACTTTTCTTGTGCTTACGCTTAATCGATCCTACTATTTTATTCATAGTAACGCCTCAACTTAACTGCTCCATTTACAGCTATATGCATGTAATAAGCAACAATATTCGCTGACTAAATTGCTGTCGATCTAGCAAGAACACCTCATATCTCATTTTAAGAAGAATTTTCTGTTCATTAGCTAGAATTAAGTGCAAATACATGGTGATTATACTAATTATTAAAGGAATGTCAATAAGTATAAACATAATAATAAGGAACACTAGGAATTTTCGGTTCACTTAGCCTAATGCACAGAATCTTATGATGATAAGCTGCAGTGTTTGGTAGGGCTCATTGGATATGCAGTCAAGTCCCCCGAACTCAACAAACCACCAGTTGGAGGAAGACGCCTTCTTTCTCGTCGAGACAGTGAATGTGTTAGCCTTGGCCAGGTATCCCCTGGGCCCAGAGGATCCTCATTCTCAGGAAGCTGGCTCGAAGGAGGAAAAAGCCGGTGGACTGCCACTAGCTTCAAGTGACCTCAAAATTCTGGTTGAAAGAGCCACCAAATTGGTCTACGAGGTTCCAAGAGCCTCAACGGGCTGGGACGAGGTGACATTGGAGACGCAGCCACTTGCTCTGGTGTTGAGTAAAAACTCGTCAATTGGTCGGACCTTTCACTTATCGATAACCTACACTGTGATTCACGCTCTCTTCACCTTCGAGCGTCGGACGCGTAATCTTATTTTGGTGGTACAGATGCCGCTACCAGTTGCCTCCCAGCAGTCGGATCTGCCAAATTCGCTCAGTCTGCCTCGATATCTCGGCTACCTGCTGCTGGAGTTCAGCACTCCAGAGGCCATCTCGTATGTGTTGGACACGATTTACCGACAACGCGGGCTCATGCTGAACACTTTTGCGTACTCGGCCAAAGCCAGTCAAGAACAGGATCGGTTCGACACTTATCTCGACTTCCCTCGGCCGCAAGTTTCGCACGGTCACCACGCCATCTACCAGCAGACCGTCATCTTGAGCACAGCCTCCGTTCTAAACACGATCTCTTCGAGGGAAGCTGACGGCCAGCTGACATGTCGGCTCGTGGAGCCGCAGGGCCATGCGAAAGAGCCGGCCTACATGATAGACGTGAACCGAGGCCCACGAATCTCCTGGTCCATCATCTACCCCAACGGTCAGAACTCAAGTGACAGTCATGTCATCTTCAGAAGCAAGGTCAAGTACTATGGTACTGTGGATGCTCCAGAGGGGGCTGAAGACGTCCGCAGCACCGCCATCAAGTTACTATTCAACCGGAGATACGTTTTAGCTGAAACCACCCTCCCCTCCAGCAGCATCGTAGATCATACCTCCGCCATCCAACCGCCCAGAGCGCCGACTTCTCTCGGCTGGTACTGGCTCCGCTGTTATCATAACAACCTGGACTTGCAGAGAGGCCTAATCCTGCACAGTCGAGGCGCTCCCCGAAGCCTGTCTGTGGAATACTCGAAGGTGCGACGTATTCATTCATTGCACGACCACGACCGTTTCACCCTTGTCTCTATCCAGCGGCAATCTCAGCCTATGAAGTTGAAATATTTGGTGATGAAATTCCGTACCAAACGCGACATGGATGGCTTTGCTGAGGCCATCTGGCACAGACGAGCTCTGCTCTCCGATGAAACCAGTGCTGAAGTGGCCAAGACGTTGGTCGGCCGAGAACAGAACAGTGTCCAGAGCGGCATAGGAAGCAGTAGACTGAATTCGCTGTTACATTATCACATACAAGAGGAGTTTGGTGAAGACCTTCACTGTTCAACGATAGGTGGGATAAAGAAGACCCTTAAGGAGGAGGTTAAAGAGGATAAAAGGCTAAAAACCAAGGTTCGCATTTTTGAGGAACCAAGTATGGCAAAAGCTGGCCTCCATGAGATCCCAAATGAACCCCTCCAGTTCGAAAAGTATCGTGACACACAAACAATCCCATTGGTAAGCGCTTTGTTACCGAGTTTATATGAGCACAAGTAAGTCAATCGGTAAGATAGCGAAGGTCCACTAACAAATTACAAAGTTCGTAGTTCAAGATACTTTTGATAAATACGCCTAAGTGCACATCAGCCGAGATCCCCATCTATAGGGAAAAAGACTATGGTTTAAAGAGCCTAAAAACATAAGATTTCACAAATTGTAACCAAATATTCTGAAGTGTATTCATCCCATTTTGTTTGAGGTCATACAGGGACTGGTAGTTGAATTCGCCCACAATGATATGAGTGAACTTTACGTTTCCATTGAACTTCACACAGCCTTGCTATCATAGTTCGAGTCACGCTGGGTGTGCTGATCATACCTAGGCAAGGCTGAAACTGCCGTACTTCCTGGATGATAATACGTTTTGAAGAAAGCAAGGCAAATTGAAATCTAATGTAAGCTCAGTGTCTATTCATATCATTGTGAGAAAATTAAACAACGTCTCCTTATTACCTTAAGCAAATAGGGTGAATACACCTCAAAAGTATGATATACTTATGAAAGAAATATTACCAAAGATTGTCTAATCTGCAAAATGATAATGTTATTCTAGTAAGACTGATCGGATTAAAAAAATGAAATAGCATTTGTCAAGCGCTAGAACTAGTTTCACCATATTTCTTGGTATACTATCGTATAATTAGCGTAAATATATCCAACTATAGGTACGAAGACGAAGATTTGGTCAATATACATTAGTCGGTTCATGAAAATGTGTTGATTTTATGTTGAGGATCTCTTGTAATTCTGTCATTACTGCAAGTCCATCTAGCCCTCAGATTAAGATTGTAACCAGCTAACCCTTACTCTCCAACAAGGAATATAAACTCAAGTAATCTTGCCTAGGCAAATTTAGTATTATTGCATTAATTTTCCTCAGCCATGAGGACCATCGGAACAACTGTTCTTCTTCACGAAAACGGTTCTACGGAAATTAAATAGTGTCTCCCGCTCAGTGACTTTCAGTTTGCTATCGGCCTTTCTGTTTCTGATCAGCCATTATAGTCAGCTTCTATGAGCCAAACTATTGGCTGTGCGCAGACTCTATTCCGCATACTTTTGATTACCTCAATACTGGATCGCAGTTAGGAAAATCTATATGTTGATTTTTATAACTGTCCCTGATTAAAGAGGAAAAGAGACCGCTCTTTCTATATCGCAGATATGACATTGATTTGATTTGATATTTGTACTTTAATATTACGGATAACCTCGATCAGTTACTAGAGTTTATTCAACCACCTAAAAATTTGGCTGCACAAGTTATAGACCTTAAACGCTCCTGTGGTCTTCTTAGTGAAAAGACTACATAAGCCATTCATTTAATTAAATAGAATTGATAACTCATGATTCCCTGAAGGTTGTACGAACATATAAACAAATCTCTAAAAGTGTCACCTCAAGAATCGACCAAGAAATTAATAGAAAACTATTTTAACTCTAAATGAATTCAGCCTATTAGTTACTGCAAAATGTGGGTATATGATAGGTATTCATCCTATTTGGTTAAGGTGATTAAAGACTGGTAGATGAATTTTTCCACCTTGAAAAGTAGACCTAATAAACGAAAAATAAGAAATATAGTCGATTTCTGAAGCAATACATCCTTGTTTCATCAGCAATCCCACAGGAAAATACCTGGCCTTCCTTGAAGGTCATAGCTGCATTGCGCCTCAAGGGCACTCGTGGTAATAGTCAAGTAGTGGTTAACATGTCTAGATTATATGCTGCACTATCACAGTTTATGCTGGGAGCATTAAAAAGGCCAAGGCGAGATCGAAACTGCAATCCATTCTGAATCAAAATATTTTTTTGGAAGCAATGCTACGTGAAATTAAATGGAAACATAATTTTTACTCATATAATTGTGGCAAAATGCAACCTCCAGTCCTTGATCACCTTAACAAAATAGGGAGAATATATCTAATATATATGATTTAATGGTAGACTCAAAAACCTAATTAGAAACTAAAAGTATGAGTATGTTTGAAGCCATCAGTAAAACTTGAATAGGTATGGTCTATTGTGATTTAAGGACTGAAAAAGGGGTTTTTCTACGATGAACAGATGTGCCATTGAATTTCGTTTAGTCTTGCTTCCCACATGACTATCTCATTTAGGCTAGACTCCAAATTAAACCTCGTCTGAATTTGCCTTAACAGCACTCTTAATGAGATTTGAGAACAGTTTATGAGTACCATGACAACGCTACCACTCCCCATGGTGTTGATTGGGTGACAGAGCAGATGCGACACTCAAGGAAAGCTAGGCTTCTCCTAAACACTTTTTTTGTAGGAGTAGTTCTACCGACGATTTCAAGCATAATCCTATTTTACAGTAACTCACAGGCTGAATTTCTTTAGACCTAACGTAGACTATTAGTAAATTCTAAGCTATTCTAGAAGTGACACTGTTTAAATGTCCTCAGAACCTGTGGGGAGTCATTCTTGGTGAATACCAGTTAATTAAATTAATTATTTATTTCGTCTTTTTAAAACTGCAACATTAGAAGCCTTTAATATTTTCTGTGTGCTTACCTTCATTTCGAGTGAGGGTGTTTGGTGAAGAGATTCGAAGGTCGACCAACTGAGAAGATGACGGCGGATTTCTCTTGACTAGCTGCCGAATTGCTTTACTGGAGCATTATTGTTGACGCTATTTCGGAAGTAATTGCATTCGATTCCGGTGGAAACCTGCATGAAAATGGACTATATTTCTAATGGTCATAAGGGCTGTGTTAGCCTGGGGGAATGTCGGGAAATGCCCTTCTGTACTTCCAATATATTTAAACTAAGCTCGATTTCATCTCAGGGTGCCAGGTTGTAGAA